AACAAAAATTGCATTGTTGGCTTGATCCTTTTCCTTAACTATTTTCTAGGAGCTCCTTTTATGTTAAGGAAAGATTAGCTCTCTGTGACAGGGCTTGCAAATACTTACCCCGTGTTCTTGTCTTTTGATTTTGCTTATGTTGCGTGTGTAGGTATACGTTTTTTAAAAATTAGGTGGTAGAATACTGCAATGTCTTTTTCTTTTTTAACGGATTCTGATAAAAGAGAACCATACTCCAAGGTTCTAGAGGAATTTGACGTGTTTTCTTCTAAGTACTTTTATATCTAAGTACTTTATATCTTTGATCCCTTTTTAAAGTTTTTTTAATGTTTATTTATTATTGAGAGAGACAGAGAGAGAGAGAGAGCACAAGCAGGGGAGTGTTAGGGAGAGGGAGACACAGAATCTGAAGCAGGCTCCAGGCTCCAAGCTGTCAGCACAAAGCCCGATGTGGGCCTGGAACTCACGAACCACATGATCATGACCTGAGTTAATATCGGACACTTAATTGACTGAGCCGCCCAGGCAGCCGTCTTTGATCCCTTTAGAGTTGATGCTGCGGCAAAATATGAGGTATGATATGGTATCCTTAACTCTTTTTCGATCATCTTGACATCATCTATTGGCCCATTCCCCAATGATTAGATGTGTCGACTTTGTAATTTACTGAATTTCGGACCAGAACCGGGTCTATTTATAGTTTACTCCATTGACTGGGCTGTCCATTAGCAGGTACAGTGCTGTTGTCATTATTGAGCCTCTATGATGCACTTTGATACATGGGATGGTTGTTTCTTCTCATGCCTTCCCTTTTCCCCCTTTGCTCTGTTTTCTTTTCCTTTTTCTTTTCCTGGCCCTTCTTGTTTGCTTCATTTGCCATATGAATTTTAGAATCTGCTTATTTAGTCTAAAAAAAGTTGATATTTATATCGAAATCACATTGTTTATTAATTAACATAATTGATATGATAGTGTTAATTGTCATGGGGATATTGACATGATTGTGAATTTTCCTCTGTTAGAACATGGCATGTGTTGCATTGGTTCTACTCTTCTTTTGCCTTTCTTTATCTTTCTTTCTTTTCTTTTTTATTTGAGAGAGCGAGCGAGAGAGAGAGAGACAGCGAGCTCGTGAGTTGAAGAGGGGCAGAGAGAGAGGGAGATTGAGAATCTCCAGCAGGTTCCATGCCCAGGGAGGAGACTGATGTGAGGCTTGATCTCATGACCTCGGGATCGTGACTTGAGCCAAAATCAAGAGTCGGATGCTTCACCGACTGAGTCAGCCATATACCCCTTCTTTTAATTTCTTAAAGGTTTTTCTCTGAGACATTTTGCCTGAATCTTAAGTTTTTTGCAGATATTTTGTTGTGTTGCTCTTGAAAAAAAATCTCTTGAAGGATATGCCTTTTTCCTCTCCACCTGATTGCTATTTGTATATCTAAGTATTGCTGTCATCCAGTATGTTAGTTGTGTACCGGGCTATGTTAATGAACTCATTGTTTGTAGTTGTTTTGGCCAGAAAGCCTTTAATTAATTAATTAATTAATTAATTAAATGCTTATTTATTTATTTTGAGAGAGAAAGCCCACACGAGCAGGGAAGGCAGAGAGAGAATCCCAGACAGGTTCCATGCTGTCAGTGCAGAGCCTGATCCGGGGCTCAATCCCATAAACTGTGAGGTCATGACCGGGGCTGAAATCAAGGGTCGGACGCTTAACCGACTGAGCCACCCAGGTGCTCCAGGAAGACTTTAATTTAAAGAATAACAATGTGGTTTGGGAAATTATCCCAAATGGATATTTCAGCAATGACAAGAAGGCAGCCACCAGGGGGTTTGGGGAAGTTCATGGCTGGGGTGGGAGGGCTGAAGAGTGTACCTCCTGAGATTTACTGAACTGCCTTCAGTAAAGTGGAATTGGGGGGCGGAATCCAATTTCGGAAGCTTCATTTTGGACCGAGATTTAGAAGGTGTAACAGCTGAGCCAGTTCCGTGGAGAAAAATCTGTGCTGAACTTGCATGTGGCTGTGTTCCTTCGAGCCCCAGAGCACAGAAGGAAAATGCCCAAGACCGACGGCGGTGAGGAGCAAGTTCTTGCTGGCTCCCAAACCCAGAGAACTGCGGGGACACTGGCCACCTAGGGTCGTGGGTCCTTAGTTTTCGGGGACACTCACCAGAACCCATCGGTGGAAGGATCTCAGAACACAGAGGAGGGAATAGACATCCAGCACTCCTCTGCTCCCTTGGAGACGGAAGGCAGATGGAATTAACAGGTGACCTATGACCCCGTGAGGGACCTTACCACTGTCTGTTCTGTCTCGGTTGGGGTCTAAGGCAGACCCAGCCCCGACACCCTGATGCCTTTGGGGTCTCCCATATAGTTTATCCAGACAAGGACTTGGAGCTCGGGAGCCTTTTAGGGAACAAAGTTTAGCTTCCTCTTCACCCCACTCACCCCAGGTAAGAGGAGGGGTAGGAGCTGTTAGTAAGTCCTGTGCATTATGCTTGGTGCTGTCTGTATGCCATTGTATTCACTCTCCTACATAGTCCTCTGAAGCATTCTCTCTGCTTCAAGGGCAAAAGAAGGAAGGGCCAGAGGGGCAGTTAGCTTGCCTAAGGCCATTCAGCAGGCAAGTGGTCGATGCAGGGTCCGGGGAGCAGAACAGAAGCAGAGCCCTACCTCCTGCCCCCACCCCCTCCACCCTTGCTTTAATAAAAGCAGCTCGGCCTTCACCTACTTGGCTCCCATTACATTTTGGTTTGAAGGATGAATTCTACCGTGAAAGAGCCTGTGTTCTCCAGACAGGTCCATTCTGTTGTTTCTCATCTCCCGCCATTTTGAATTAGCGGCACCTCCCCACCCCTAGCCCTGCCCCCACCCCACCCCTGCTACTGCTGCTGCCTCTGCTAGTGGATCTGAGGGGTCCCAGCCCTCTCTCTCTCTCTCTCTCTCTCTCTCAAAAATAAGTAAAGATTAAAAAAAATTTAGAAAAAAATAAAATAAAATTGGGTTGAATGCAAGGTTGATGGGTGGAGCCAGTACCATTATTCTGATCACCGTTACTAATAAACATTATATGGACTTAAATGATCAGCCTAGGTCCAACACCATCCTTGAGCAAACTCAAAGTTGTGAGACAGGGAAAATGGCCATCTAGAGAGAGGAGGTCATTCGTTCTACATTCCTTGCAAAGGTAAAGGCAGATCTTTGTTCTGCTGTGTTCTACTCTTCCCGGTGGTTGCGAGTGGTTACAGCGCGTGAGGACTGTGTGTCCTGGGCAGGGTTCCCTGGCAGGATGGATGTATTTCGTGATCAGCACCTGGGCTGTGTGTGGGCAGGCAGGTGTGCTCAGAACCAGGGGTCCTCGCATGGCACCCTGTACTCTTGTCGTGGACCAGGGGATGCAAGGACCTTCCATCAGGCTTGAGGAGAACAAGCTCAAACTTCTGGGGGCAGTGGTGCCACTAAATGGCCAATGCAATATCATCTGTGGCCCAGAGCTGGGGAAGAGGTGTATTCTATTAACAAACACCTAGGTATCGGTGTAAGCATTTTACAAATACTCGTTTCCCTAATCTTCATATGGATTAGGGTTCTCACTTTATTATTCCTATTTCCATACGAGAAAACGAGGCACGGAGTTCAGTAATCAGAATGAGGCCACACAGCCAATCTGCCGCAGGGCTGGAATGGGGGTCCGGGCTCGTTCAGATCCTGAGGCTAACATGCACTCACTGTTCATGAAGCATCTCTCACGTGCCCTGGGCCTGGAGGTGGAGATCAGAATCCAATCTGACCTGCCCCTTCTTTCTAGTAGCTTAGAGTCAGTGAGGAGCTTACATTTTGAAAGAAGCTTTGCCCTATAAGTTTCTCTGCCCCATCTCTGACGCTTCATTCCTCTGTACGTCAACCTGGCTCAGCGACAAGGATTACAAATACCAAAGGGATGTGATGGTTAATTTTACGTATGAACCAGGATAGGCTATGGTACCCCAATACTAGTTTAGATGTCACTGTGACGGTATTTTTTAGGTACAAATAACATTTAAATCAGTAGAGTTTGAAGAAGGCAGATGGCCCTTCGTAACATGGGTGGGCCTCATCTAATCAGTTGAAGGCCTTAAGAGAGAAAGACCCGAGGTTCCCAAGGAAGAAGGATTTCTACCTCAAGACTTGAGACTGCAAAAGTAACTCTTCACTGGGTTTTCAGTTTGCCAGTCTGCCCTGCAGATTTCAGACCTGCCAGCAATCATGTGAGCCAGTTCCTTAAAATAAATCCTTTTCTCTCTCTCTCCACACACCCTGTTGGTCTGTTCTTCTGGAGAACCCTGACTTATACAAGGGAAAAATTGTATTTATGAGCTTCAGTAATGAACTTCTTCGGCGGCAAATGGCTTCTGTTAATTAGGGGGCCAGAATGCAAGTGAAGGTGTCTGAGAACTATAGAATCCTCTGCAGAATTTTTTTTTAAGGTTTTAATTTATTTTTGAGAGAGAGAGAGACAGTACAAGTGGGGGAGGGGCAGAGAGATTGGGAGACAGAATCCGAAACAGACTCCAGGCCCTGAGCTGTCAGCACAGAGCCCGACACGGAGCTTGGAGCTCGTGAACCGTGAGATCACGACCTGAGCCAAAGTCATACGCTTCACCGACCGAGCCACCCAAGAGCCCCCTCTGCAGAATTTCTGCAAAGCCGATACCTCTTCTATGATCCTTATGGCGTGTGAGTAATGACTTGAATCTGAGAATTCAGAAATTCTGATCCTGGTCCTGAGCTCGGATCTCTACATACCGGCGGTTGGTAGGTTGGAAAGGAAAACCACATCTCCAAGCACGAGGCACCTCCTTCCAGCAGGAGGCTTGTCCATCCTACCGTGTGCCACTGCTTCGAAGGTACGACAGAAAACATCTACCTCATGCCAGGGTCTGGGCTGGATGCGCGTGACGGTTCTTGCGACGGCTCTGAATGGTGGGTATAGTGCTTCCAATTCGCTATTTGCAGGGAACCGTTTTCTGACGTGTCACGGCCAGGAGTTGGCAGTTACCCACTTTCAGGTGCAGCGACGGTGTCCCCACCTGCAGGGATGGTGAGCGCATCCAATCCCGGGGCTCTGATCAGGTGAGCAAGACACAGAAAGCGCTGCTTGCGGGGGGGTGCTGGTGTGGGGACCGGTTGACAAGCAGGGATACAAGGGAATGGCCGAGAGTACTCCCAGGGACAAGAGTGCCTCTGAGGGACTCTGCTGGTGTCTGAGAGAGTCCCGGGAGGGAAGACTGCACGTGGCACTGGCCATGATTTACCCACCCCAGTTCGCTGCAACAACAGCCCGTGCTGTGAAGCAAATCAAAGGGGGAAAAAATAGCCTTTCCAGAATGGTGACAGATGTCTCATAGTGCCACATTACAGTGAGAAGCACTTGGACCTTATTCTAGGTGAGAAGTCCAATGAAACCCAAACTTGTCCTCTGGACAAGGCTGCTCCGTGAAATAGAGCTGCCCCTCAGTGAGTCTGGCTGTCTCTCCGGGCCCCTCGCCAAGCCTCAGAAGCACCTTAACTTGAAGCCCTGCTGATTCAAAGCACCGCCTTCTGTTCTGGGCAAGCCTTGGCCAGGAAAAGTCAGGTAGGGACCCGTTCGTGAAGCAAGCCTACCACGTGAGACTGCAGCTGGGCTCCCGGAGTTCGTGGAGAGGAGTATGTTGAGTAGAGTTGAAATGGACCAGTTGTTCCCAGCTGCATCTCAGCTGTGTTGGTGCTAGAGTCAGGGTGTGGGGCTGCCTTGGGGCCACTCGCCACCCACAGTGTTGTTTCTTTGGGAAAATGCACTCCCAAGTATCTTTGTTAGTTAGTGGGTTGACTGGCCGATTAATTGATGGATTCATTCATTCATTCGGTCAGTCACTGCCTGCCCTACGCCAGAAAGTAACCAGGGATGCCATGGCTGTTCTTTTGATATGAACAGCAACAGTGTGGAATGCCTGGGTGCGGGGAAGGGGAGGAGCCTGCTCCAGCCATCCATTTCCATATGTCATATCAGGAATCAAGAAGCAAAGGGCTAAGGGCAGGGGCGATTCCTCATCTGCGTGCCATGTGATGTGGGCTGGTCATCCAAAAACCATGTCTTCCCACGTCAGAGAAAAGTTGGGTTTCCCTGACCCAGTTGGATGAACCTGTGAGCCACTTTGAGGGCAGGGCTGTGTCTCAGGTATTTTGGTATCCTCAGATGCCTCCCACAGAGGGAGGGCCGACCAGGTCAGTCAATACGCGCCTGATACAGTGAAACCAACTTCGGCTGTCCCAAAGGCCTTTCTTTTGTTGGATTCTAAGTGGTTAAGAAAGTCTTGGCTTGGATAGAGTCTTGGCTGTCACTGGGGTTTTGTGATTGTGTGTTTGAGGGATGTGCGTTCCAATGGATGGAGAGCTTTCCAAAGCACAAGTGATTCCTATGGGAGGGGCTCGATCCCTGTACCCCACCTTGGCCTAGACAAGTCTGAGAGGCTGGAGAGGGAGGCCAATTATGGTCTCTGGGAAATTCTTTTTTTTTTTTTTTTTTTTTATTTTTTTTTTAATTTTTTTTTTTTTTTTTTGGAAATTTTTTTTTAAAAATTTTTTATTTATTTTTGGGACAGAGAGAGACAGAGCATGAACAGGGGAGGGGCAGAGAGAGAGGGAGACACAGAATCGGAAACAGGCTCCAGGCTCCGAGCCATCAGCCCAGAGCCTGACGCGGGGCTGGAACTCACGGACCGCGAGATCGTGACCTGGTTGAAGTCGGACACTCAACCGACTGCACCACCCAGGCGCCCCAACTGGGAAATTCTTAAGGTCAGCACCAACCCCCTGTGTGAGAAAAGGTAGGATTTCCAACAAGATGTCTGCTTAGGCTGTGGTGTTGACCGTTCAGGCATGCGGGTGACAATAAAGAGAAGGCTACTCACTCTTGTCCTCTTCCAACAACTTCTGCTATCCATGGTGGCCTCGCATTCATCCCTCTTGTCTCAGAAGAACTTCCGGGGCTGATGACACCTAGCACTTCTAGAAGGAGCTTGTCAAGTAATCTCATCATACATGTAATTCATTTTGGCCAAGCTAGCTAGGGCGATCAGCACCCTTACGTCAGAGTCACTCTGTTCTAATTATCTTGTCAAAGGGACTTCTTTGCTTCCCCTCTCAGATGCCTCTATCTTTGTCAAACCTTAGTGACAAAACTTGGGCCACAGGCTCAGGTGTGGTCTTCCAAGCACAGGGGACAGAGGGAACAGGCGGGATTCTGCTTACCCAGAGTCCCTTTGTGGAGGCAAGGGCACTCAATTTTGTTGGTCATTGTGACAAAAATGATGTTAGCTAGCATTCATGGCCCGACATGGTGCTGAACACTTTCCACGCATTATCTCACGGGATTCTCCCAGCACCTCAACAAGAGACTCTGTTTTCCTGCCATCTTTACCGATGAAGGAAACTGAGGTTTCAAGAAGTCCAGGGAGCACACCTGAGGTCCTGTCTCAGGTCAGGCTCCCAGAAGCAGACCCCGAGATGAGGACTCACAGGCAGGGGATGTGTTAGGGAAGTGATTCCTGGAGAAATCTGCTGAGAGAGCAGCTGGACCGGGAAGCGAGCCAAGCAGGGGCCATCTCCGAGAAGTCCCTGGGCTGATGGGTTCCACCTAATCCCACGGGCTGGGCTGGGTTCGTGGGTGTGCACCCTGTGCCCTTGTGGGGCCCCGTGCTCAGGAGGGCCCTGTGCTTGGGTTGACGCTCTGCTGTTGCTGTCTTGAAATTCTTAACGACTTTGGAAAAAGGGACTTGCACTTTCATCTTGCACTGCGCCCTGCAGACTCTGCCCACGGGATTCCCGAAGTGCGGGCCCCTCGGGGCTGCTCCCACTGGAGGCCCGGGGATGCGGGCTTTAATCCTGTCATCAGCCATCGGTCATTGGGTAAGGGCTGCTCCTTAACCGTTCCCACGTTTTCCTGGTTCCTTCTGTAGGCAGGCAAAGCTGTCTAATGGCCTATGGGCAATGCTCTGAAAAACAGCCGCAGGTAGTGGCTGTTGGAACTGGAAGCGTCCCGAAGGGATGGCAGGATTCAAACTCCAGGCCACGGTTCTTAATCACTCTTCCTTTGAGAGGTCACAGGGTGGCTTCGGTTCTGCCGTGAGCCCCCGTGTCCTCCAGCCCCACCTTTCCTTCTCTGTTCCTCCTGCTTCAGGTCCTGGGTAGGAGGGAGAGTGAAAAAAATGGGAAGTGGAGGTTGGCAGTGTGCCAGCTGCTGGGAACGCCGTGATTTACCTTTCCTGCAGACAACTATTCTGGTCTGGGTGGGCCACCCGGGGAACTCGCAGGGGCCAGGCTGGAACAGCGTCGATGTGCTAATTCAGCCTTCCCTTTGCTGGCGCAGTCCTCAAAGTTTTCTACCAAAATATCAAATCTATGTAGTTTTCTGCTTTGCCATCTGTGCATTTTTATTTTTATTTATGTTTATTTCTTTATTTTTCTGAGAGCGAGCGAGCAGGGGAGGGGCAGAAGGAGAGAGCAAGAGAATCTCAGGCAGGCTCCACGCCCAGCACGGACCCCGATTTGGGGCTCGATCCCGCGAACCGTGAGATCATGACCTGAGCTGAAATCAAAAGCTGGACACTTAACTGATTGAGCCCCCCCAGGCACCCCTCCTGTGCATTTTTCAAGATGCAGTTCCTATGGCTTTGGATCTTTGTACTAAGCTCCTCACAATGTGCATTTTAAAGAGATTTTCTTTAGCTTAAAAATGATATTTAACAACCCACTTGTCCCTTGGCAGGATGTGTTTGTGACTGTGTAGACACATCTCCTCTATCTCTATAAGTCTCTGCCTAAATAGGATTAGTTTAGCCGGTCTGCCCAGAATTTTCCCTCCTATGTTAGGTTGTGGAAGCCTTGACTGTAGAAGCCCTCTTTCAAATCACATTCATGCAGCCATTCCCAGAAACTTTGGTAGGAAAAAAGGCACGCAGGCATGCAAAATGATCCCCGGAATTGGCTCGCGTTGGCATGCATTTGCAGATGATGCGCCCTAAGTCCTAAGAGCAGGGACTGCCCTTTGCAAAAAAAAAAAATAAATAAATAAATAAATAAATTATCATTCCTCCTACATGACCAGGGGCTGTAGTGCAAGAGGCACATTCAGTAAATATACTAAATATAAATAAACAGTAAGCAGGAGGGTGAACTTGCTTTCTGATCGGTGCTACCTGCAATGTTCTGGAAGTGTTTAGACGTCTCCTGTGTACCTGTACCGCGTTTTGAAAAAAATGTCCTTTTTGGCCCACTGTGCACCACCTCTTTAAAAGATCTCGACTTGGAAACTTTGGCTGTTAGTCCCTGGGTTGCCATCCTCACAAGGGGACCCTGCATGGGAGAAGGGTGTTAGCCAGGGACTCTTCTAGAATGCACCACCAGTGAAGTCACCATCCTTTCTTCCCTTTATCTCCGTTGTCCTAAGACTTGTTACCTTGTCCTCTTCTCTTCCTCTTAGTATATTTGCAGTGTGCTTATCCTGTATTTCAATTAGTCAGATTCATTGGCCTGGGAGAGGTGGGGTGCTCCTTCTGATGGAGGCACACATCTTAGGCCAACCGGCTAGAGACCAATAAGCAAACCACTGCCAAACCTTAGTCTTCTTTGCATGGGAAACCAGCAGAAACAGGTTCTTTTTGTTATTTCCACAAAACGTACATCCCCAAAGCACGCAGAGAAGCCCACGCTGGATCATAGCATCATCGTTTACTCAAGATGCCGTACAAAAGCCGAAAGAGGAAGGAGTGGACGTTGGGCCATCAAAGCCAAACGGGAGGAATCTTCGAAGGAGGAAGAGGCTAAGCATGGAGGCGGAGGCCGCCATGAGAAGGCCATTATTGGTGTCTTTAGCAAGTCCTGAGCTCAGACATCCTTGTTTATGCCTCCGATGTGCCAGTGACCCCACCTCCTACCATAACTTGTCTCGGGAGGGAAAGAAACCGGCCAAGAGAGCCAATTTCAGAGAGTTCTCTGGGGAAGGAGGGAATGAGTGAGATTCAGGCGTGTGTGGGCGCTGGGGATGCTTAGGTGCAGCCAATTTGGAGCCCCCTTTCTGAACTCATCCCGCCCACTCCCCAATTTCTACTCCTTGTGCCATGCTGTGCAGGATAGAGGTCCCATCTGGGAGGGAGTGTCTGGGACTACCGAAGAGTTACATTATGGTGCAAGGCTTCCAAAGGACCCTCCACACTCCCCCCTTCCAGCATGAGGATGGCTCACTGAAAGGAGCTCAGCATTTATACCCAATTGGGTAATTTACTAATGCTTATTAGTTTCATATCCTAGGAAACTTTCACTTGCTACCTCAATGAGGACAGTCACAGGCCATTCCCCAAAAAACTATCCCCAGTGAAAAACTACAGACATGGCCCCCAGAACCCAGTATAGACTTGCATCCATCATTCTCTCTTTCTGTCTCTGTGTCTCTGTCTGTGTCTCTGTCTCTCTCTCTCGTCTGCCACTTCACTGTGGCTCACCGTCTTACTCTCTCCCACCCACATAACCTCAGAAACTGCAGTTTTGAAAAGTTTCCATTTTAATTCTGATATTACGAGCCTATGTATTTTGCAACTC